AAGAGAAAGTGCCCACTCTCCTGCTTCTCCTTCTCCTCCTGACCTCAGTGCCCCAGCAGCAGGGGCACACACAGGCACGCACCTTCACACTTCAAATGTGTGCATGTGCTGGTGGGAAGGAAGGCTCCTCTTAGGGATGCAGAATCCCAGGGAGTGTCCTGGGCTGGGCCTCTGCCAGCAAGATATTGGGGCCCTCTGGAAGCAGAGGGGCGCCCTTGCTCTGCTTCTGTTGGTGGGTGGCCATCTAAGGCCCTGCTGAGTTGAATGCTCATTCTGTGGTTCCAAACTCCTCGCTAATGGAATCCAGAATCTGAGCTGAGCTCTTCAGCACTCTCCGGGTCTGGTCTCTCACAGACGCAGGAAGGCCAAGTAAGGTACCTGGCCTGGTATCACACAGTCAGTTTACATTAGTGGTGGGTGCAGGGCAGGAGAGCTCCGTTTGCCCTCTGCTCCAGGCTCTGGAGGACTTTTCCTCTCCCAAAGAACACTTGAAGGAATGGCATGTCACTGAAGTCAAACAGTTCTGGGTTCCAGTCCTGGTTCTGTTCCTTACAGACGTGAAAATATGGAGATGATAGCCCCTATCTTTTGTGGTTTTTTTTTTTTTTTTAGACGGGGCCTTGCTATGTAGTTCAGGCTGAGCTTGAATTCACTGTGTAGCCTAGGCTGCCCTTAAGCATGCAGTGATCCTCCTGCTTCAGCCTCCTGAGTGTTGAGATTACAGTGTGCACCACTATGCTTCACCCATTGTGCCTATCTTATGGAGTTCTCCTAAAGATGAAATGAAATGGTACCTGGAAAGCCTCCGCACCATACCCCTGGGGTATGCTCAGCCCACTTAAACTATTAGTATTTAAGCAGAAGTAACTGTTAATGAGAACTGCCAGCAAGGCAGCAGGCTAGGGAGTGCCCTACAGGGTAAGGGGTCAATCTCCACTCCTCTACCCCATGGACCCCTAGGGCTTCTGTGTCCCCAGCACCTCCATAGGAGGCACTCAAGGTATGTCTGGTGATGAGTGAATGTCCCTACACACCCCTGTGGGATTGTCCAAGCCTTAATTCAGTAATCCAGACCCTTCCTAGGCCAGCACCTCTTCAAATGGCAATTCCATGGTTGTGCAGGACATGCACAACCATGGGGGTACCTGGAGAGCCTTCCCAAGGGATGTAAGTTGTGGAGGAAGGGAGGGAAAGAAGGAGGACTAGGGGAAGAAGGGATGGGAGGGACAGAGGGAGAAATGGGAATTAGCCAGCTCCTGAGCCAGCATTGACTCACCTTCACTCCTTGGAGAGCAGCTCAGTCATCACCTGGTTATGCCAGCTCTGCCCCACACCATACCATACCTTTTGGGGCTTCTCCCGCCACCCCCCTATGGATGGTAAACCCTATATTCTGGAAGGCCAAAGGGGGTGGCAAACTACAGTACCCTTCATCAGTCCACTGAATACCTGAATACTCCCAGTATCCAGTGGAGAGAAGGGCAAAGCTGGTCATAACCCACTCCACAGAGAGGTGACAGGCTTGTTCACAGTGGCCAATCAGAAGCTAGTTATTCTGACTCCCAGCCTGGCACTGTGGTGTGAAGGGAGCTGTGTGGGCAGTGCCCTGTATGACCCTGACTGCTTTGCACACCACATTTCCACCTGAAGCTCCCTCTCCTCCACAAGCTCTTCCTTCACCATCCTCCATGGCCCTAAAGGCACTGCACCTACCACCTGTGGCTGATCTCCAGCATGAGACATTTCATGTGTGTTCCAAGCCTGAAATTCTTGAAGGCAGGCATGGGTTTTCCTTGTCCTGTCTTTGACAGGACTAGCACTCAGTAGGGATGGAGAAAGTGACTGTACGATGTCCCACAGGAAGGGCTGGGGATTTAGCCCAGTGGTTTCGCCACCTGCTCCGCAAGCACAAGGACCTGAGTTGATCCCCCGTACCAAAAAAAAAAAATACAGTGCCAGAGATTTAGCTCAGTGGTTTCACCGCCTGCTGCGCAAGTGCAAGGACCCAAGTTCGATTCCCGGAACCACAAAAAAAAAAAAGAAAAGAAAAGAAAGTGAAACGATGTCCCACAGGGTAGACAGGACATTTCTTTCTTCTTGAGGATGCTATCTGGAGATGGGGGGGGGGTCTCCTCTATCCCCTGCCCTACCCTCTAGTGCTCCCAGATTTTTGGAGCTAGATGGGGTCTGATAAGGTTCTGTTCAAGAGCCACTGGGGAGGGGGACCTTTCCTGAGTCTCCCGGCAACCAGCCACCTGTCCCTATGTTGTTTCCTGGAGAAGCCACTCCTGCATCCATCTCCTTTCTCCCCCAAATTCCAGCAGCCCACCCACCTTGGGGATTTGGCAGAGTATGGCACAGTCTTTGCTCCAGCCCCCACCCCACCCCAGCTGGCAGCTCCTAGCCTGCTGCCTTGCCCAGACATGGCAGAGGGGCACTGGCAGCTTGGAGATGGAGTTGATTTTCCCCTTGGCAGTGTGGAGACGGGGAGGGGGAAGCTTGGCCCCCACCCTGGGTGAGGGGAGAGGGCAGGGAGGCAAGTTTAGACAAGAGGCTGAGGGAGAATGTGACTTTCCCAGCTTGTAGGGTCATTGCATTAAGAATCAAAGCTATACTGGGGACCTGGGGAGTGTTTCAAGCCAGTTATCCTATCCCCACCTGGCCTGGGTCTGCCAGAGCTGCAGCCCTCAGTTCCTGCAAGCTCATCTTTGGAGACTCCAAGGTGGACATCTGCTGTGGCCAGCTGGGGCAGCTCTACTGCAGACTCTACTCCTCTTTCTCACCAGTGTCTCCCCTCTGGCTCCTTCAGTTCCAGCCTCCTCCCCCACTTTCTCACTCCCACCCATTTGCCTTTGTGTCTCCTCTTCCCTTCCCTGGTCCCTTCTTTCTCCCTCCTCTTCCCTTGGCCCCCCTTTCTTCAGTCCTTCTTCCCCCTTCTCTCCCAGCCCCCTCCTCCTCTCTGCATTGGGGCTGCTTTCCCCCTGACTCAGCAAGGTGCTTTATAAGGTGCTGAGGGGCTCAGCCAAATCCAAACCACATTGTCTGTGCAGCCTCTCACCAGGAGCAAGCTGCAGGGCTGCACAGCCAAGGAGCAGGGCTCAAGCTCCTTCCCTTCTGCCTTACCCTATCCCTTTCCTTTCCTAGCTCCTTCCCTTGGAAAGAGTGGCTTCGAGGGGGACCTCCCAGAGTAGCCTCAGTGCCAGTCACCCATGGGCATCTGCCTTCTTGACCTTGGCATGGGTATCAAAAGATTCTTGGACTCACAGGGCAAGAATGCCATTGAAACTCCAGAGTCCAGGCTGGTGGGGGGCGGGGAGGAGGTGGAGGAGGCCCTGAGCACTTTCCACAAGGGCCCCTCCAAGGCACTTTTCCTCAGAGCAGCTACTGATGCTCCAGAAAGTCCCCTGCCCCTCACCCCAGGTCAGCTCTCCATTCCTAGCTCTTTTTCTTTTTAGAAAAAAAAAAAAAAAAAAAAGGAAGAGAAAGAAAAAGGAAGGAAGGAAAAAAGAAAGCAAGAGAAAGGAAGAAAGGGAGAGAGGGAAAAAAGGAGAAACAACCCAACAACAAAGTCTGTCCCACTCCAGTGAGGTAATTGAAAACAAATTTCTCCCCCCACCCCCCCACCTCAGTTCTCCAGTACAGAAAAGGGAAGAGCTGCCCTGGGAACCTAGCACTGGTCATCACTGTGATATCTACTCTGACCCACAGCCCGGAAGGGCTGTGGTGAACTGGCAGAGTGCCCTCCTTCCAGGGGCACCACAGGAATGGGAGACCAGGTCACTCCAGATAGAGAAGCATCACCTTCCAGGTCGGTCTACCACCATCTTCTTCCTCCTTGAAACAACAGATAAACAACAACAACAAAGCAACTTATAACTGAATGATTTAATTGGTGGAATGCTTCTAGGGTATCCAAGACTTGGGGACCAAATGACTGTCCCCCTAGAAAAATCACTAAGTGAGGCTGTCTACGAGCCCCGGATGACAGCTGTTTCCTTTGCACTCCGATCACTCTCCCTGGCAGCCCTTTAGAGAGGGAATAAGGGGGAGGAAGGAGACCCTCCAGGGAGAGTCTAGGCTTATGGGTCCCCTAGGTCTCCGCCCAGCAAGTCCCAACCCAGGCCAAAGGGAAGGAGGGAGAGCACTCCACAGCCAAACCACCCCTGTCTCACCACCGGAAAAACCAACACCCCAAAACCCCAAAGGAAGGAGGATGCCAAATGTCTTGATGGGGAAGCATTTCACAAACGGGACTGGATGGGACACTGGGTCTGTCCATGGCCTCGAATTTGCGCATTCTCGCTGAGTCACCCTCGGTGCCAGTGCCTCTGGTGTTGAAACTGGTCTGGTGCCTTGGTACCTCGTGCTGATTAATGAATTACAAATCCCCCACCCATGTGCACTCTCCCCGGTCACTGGAAGAATGAAGAACCTTGTGAACTTGAGAGAGAAGCTGGGCATTGGGCCCCGGTGCCCTCTTCCTCCCCCCAGGGGACATTGTGAGCTAGTTAGTCACCTGCCCCAGCCCCTGGCGCCTCACTTAGCTCTAGCTTTTGGAAGTGGAACAAGCGTCGGGACAATAGGCAAGGGGGGCGGTCAGCCCAGACAAAGGACAGCAGGAAAAACACCATCACTTGCTCCGAGGCCAGCTCGCTGGCATCTGGGAGTATGTGTCATTGCTTTTACTCAAGGGGGTGTGGGAGAGAAGGTTAAGAGATAAAGGTTAGAGGTACGGTGGGCCCAGGGACCCCAAACCAGGCAGGAGCAGGGGGCAGGGGTCCCCAGCTGACACTGAGGGAGAAGCCCACGGCTTCATCATAGCGGGCTCCTGGCCCTGGCTCTGGGCAGTCTGCAGACCGACCGATGCCCTCCCTGCCCCCTTCCCTAGGAGGCCCAGGGTGGTACCGCCGCAGCCTCGCCTCACCTCACCCCCCCTCAGTGTTGTGGGAGGGAGAGGAGCCCCAGAAGCCCTCCCTTCCCGCCTCCCCCCTCCTCCCCCCACCTCGGGGAGGGCTGCTACAATTTGTGGTTACAGCTTTACACGTCAGAAAAAAAAAAAGTTTGCAGAATGTCCCACACCGAAAAAAAAAAATCCGAAACCGAGTGAAAAAAACCTGCGAGTGGGCCTGGCGGATGGGATTATTAAAGCTTCGCCGGAGCCGCGGCTCGCCCTCCCACTCCGCCAGCCTCTGGGAGAGGAGCCGCGCCCGGCCGGCCCGGCCCCCAGCCCCATGGACCTCCGAGCAGGTAGGAGCCAGGCGTCCGAGGCCCCGGCCCCCCGCCCCCGCCCGGCAGCCGCGAGATCCGGTTCCGTCCTCACCCCCACCCTAGGGAGCCCCACGCCGGGGCCCGGCCGGGGAGCAGGGTTTGGGCCGGGGAGACACGGCTGGGAGCCCTCGAGAGGGGCTGGGCGGGGACGCGGCATTCCTGGAGTCCGCTGCGCGGGGCCAGAAGTGGCCGGGAGCGCAGCGGGGAGCCTGGACGGCCGAAGACCTGGGAAGGCGGCAACCTGAGCTCTGCCGAGACGGGGTCCCAGGGAACTGGTGGACAGAGCCCGGCGCAAAAGTCGGGGCAAGCGAGTCCGAGGCGGGGAGAGAGGCTGCTGCTCGAGGGGAGGAGGGGGTCGGAGAGGAAGAAGGAGGGCGAGGCAGGGGGAGCCCGGGCCGGGCCGGCGGGGGGCGAAAGGAGGCCGACACCTCTGGCCTCGCCGCTCTCCCTCCCTGGCCCGCCGGGAGGGAAAGGCGGGCGGGAGGGAAGGAGGCCGGGTGAGAGACAAGGAGAGGAAAGGACGGCGGAGGGTACAGCCAGCCTGGCTGGGCCGCGGGACTCGCGGTGGCTCGCAGCGTGCGGCGTTGCCGGAGCCCTCCATGCTGCCCGTGGCCAGGGAGCCGGCGGCAGGTAGGGGCCGGGCGGCGGGGTGGTGGATGGCAGCTAGACTCCGGCCTGCCAGCCTGGGAGTGATTACTGCGGGGAGGGGGGGAGGCGCAGCCCTGCTGGACCCTGCAGGAAAAAGTCCGTCACCGGCCCGGGAGCGGCAGGCGCCTCCGGCAGCTGCGGGAGCAGCCGCTCAGCCCGGCGGCCCACAGAGGAGGGCGGGCAGGGCAAGGAGTTGACGGCGGGAAAGGGCAGCGGCCACCGAGCCCCCACACTCCGGACCCCGCCCCCGCCCCCCGCCACCGGGAAGGGAGCGACCGGGCGGGAGCGGGCGGAGCTGGGGGGGCGGGGCCGGGGGCGGGGGCCACACAGGGGGAAGGCGCCACTGCCGCCCAGAGAAGGGTCCGGGAGCCAGAGGTCATGGTCGAGGCTGGAGGGCCGGTGAGTGGCCACCGACGCACAGTTCCTGGGCTGAACCCCTTGAAACAAACTTCAAGTCCCGCCAGCGTCCTCTCATCTCGGCTCTCCCCACCTTCCTTTCCAGCAACTCCACACTGGGCTCCAAGCCCTCCCCACAGAAGCCTGGTGCCAGAGGACCCCTGTGTCCTCCAGGGCAGGGGCGGTAGGGGGCTGCACCCGGTGGAGGCATGGCCGAGGGTTGTGAGCCTTGGAGAGAGCCTGGGGCTGGGGAGCACAGGAAACACCTCTCTCCGATCGGATTAGGGAAGATCTCTGGGCTTTCACTGCCCCTGACGGACCTCCACCCCTGCTCTGAGCACACCATCCCTTCTATGGGACAGAGGTTCATACTCTAACAGACCAGATGCACTCCCCCAACCAACTCAAACATGCTGGCTGCCCTGGAGCCTAAAGTTCAGCCAAGGAAGGAAACTGGCAGCAACTGTCACTGGGCAGTCCCAAAAGTGCTAACTCCTGACTGGAGTAATGGCGCACCCTCCCCACCACTCTCCCGTCCCATTCACACTTGTGCATGCCACCTTCTACACCACCAGCTACTGATTCCTTACACTTCACATTCCTCCCCACAATCCCACCCGCCACCTGCCTGTTCACATCCTGGCTCCTGCCACTCTTTCTGGCCCCTCCCACCCCCTCCTGCACACTCTTCACAATACCACCCTTTCCCAGCTCACCCACACACTTGCCCAGGACTATTTCCTTTACTTTTTCCTCCTGCCTCTGGCTTCAGCTGGCTGCTCAGCTCCCCTGCCTTCATCCTCTTCTCCCTGAGCACACCCAGGGCCCTCTTGCACCACAGTTCAGAACCTTCTTCCTCTATCCAAAGCCCAACTGTCCTGGTGACTGACTTTACAAGCCAGGGGCTCGGCCATCCTTTGCTTCTTTCCCTGGACCTGGATTTCTTGTCATTTGGGCTGGAAGAAAAGGGCAGGTGCAGATACTGGAGACCACAAGAGAGATGGAGCCCCATGCTTCAGCTGGGAGGGCCTTTAATGTGCACAGTGCAGTTGGGATCCTGGCACAGCTAGGTCTCCTGATTTTCCAGGCCCATGTGTTGTCCCCACTCACCCTGCTACTTCTAAGCAGCTTGGACCAAAAGCGAACCAGAAACAGGGCAGAAGGTAAAGAAAAAAGAGATGATGCCAGGTGTGGTAGCACAGGCCTATAAATAATCCTAGCACTCGGGAGGCTGAAGCAGGACAACTGCCAGCCTGGGCTACATAGTGACTTCAAGGACAGCCTGACATATATAGGGAAACCCTGTCTCAAAAAACAAACAAAAGATAAAATAAAAAAAAGAAGAACCTCGACTACATAGACCCTGTTTCAAAAACAAACAAACAACAAGAAAGAAAGAAGAGAGGAGAGGGCATCCAGAGCAGACAGTGGAGAAAGCTGCGTTTCTGTGGGCCTTTACCTGGACAGGCAGGTTAGGAGGTACCTGTAGTGCAGTGTCTTGCAGTCCTAATGCCTGGACCTTACACCATAGTGTACACACCACCCACTAGGTCACTCCTTCCCAGATTTCTCTCAAAAGACCCCTCCAAGGTCACCCACAGGCTGGTTCTGTTCTGGCTGAGGGCTGGATCTTCTGTTTCCCATAATTAGCCCAGCCTTTGGGCATTGCTGGAACTCCACAGGGCCTCGCTGGGCCCAACATTTAAGGATTACAGATTTCAGTTCCCAGACCCAGGTGCAGAGGCTCCACTGCAGCCACCTTGGACATCTGTACTGTAGAGCTCTGCCACCCTCACTAAGTGTGGCTGGACTGGAAGATAGGCAGGGACTAAGGGGCAGCTGGCTAAAGACATGCACAAGTGTGTGCCTGCCTAGGCAGCATGTTGGGGTTGCTCTGCACTTGCATGGGCTAAGACAATGTATGTTCATGAGGGGGACCTCGATTCCCAGGGCCCAGGGATCTGGATGGAATTAGGGGCTGGCCCTGGTGGGGGCCAGGATTGGGAAGGGGGCTGCAGCAGGAAACGTGAGCTGTACTCATTAGCTCCTCACGTGCTCAGCTGGATTTATAAACACAAGGAGGAGACGGGATGTAAACAATCAGTGGGCAGCAGCCAGAGGCAGATTGGGGCTAGATTGGGCCTGGGGGCAGGGCTGGGGGAGGGACCTGAGACATGGCCCCATGTCGGGGTCCACCTGCATACCACAAGGTAGAGAGGAGAAGGGATGAGGGCTCTAGGAAGCTCACTGTACACTCCTGCCCAGGGCCAAGGGGAACCCCCTGGCTCCAGTGTTCCCTGTATTCAGGTGTTCTCTGCCCTAGGCAGCTTTCAGCTTCACTGCCTGAAGCATGGTCACATCTTCTCCAGCAAGGAAACTTATAGTATATAGTAGAGGGCAGAGCCCTGTCCTTCCACCTGCCTTTTATCCTCCCCTGCCTCCTCTCCCTGTGATTCTCGAGACTCCTCAGCTCTTTCTCTTTTTCTCTCAGCTGGTCAGTCAGCTACTTCTGCTCTCTCCTGCCCGCCACCCCCACCCC